TAACCTAGGCAAACTACTTGTACTGCTGTGATGCACGAAGTCAAGGTTTCTTGATTGAGAGAGCGGGCGTCGACGCGTCTGGTTCAATTCCTTCCGAACTCTATAACTCCCCTCGCTGAATATCCACCGGGTTTTGCAACAATGGCCTCGATTCGTCATCATCCGAGACACCTCCGTCGTCATCGAACTCCGGGCGGTGGCCGCTTGGCAGCGCCTGTTCTGAGACAAAAGCCATCAACGCAAGCGGAAGAACAGCGGTGGGGGGGGGGGCACTGTCAGTGTTGTGAGCCTGTGCATTGATTGCAAAAGCTGAGGGTCGAAAACAACCAAGGTGACTCTTTTCCCTGGTCCCAAGCCTTCGTGCTTGGCAAGCAGCACCGCCTGAGAAACAACCAAGCCGAGTTGACGCGAAAGTCGGCGGGACAAATGGAAAACACAACAGAACCGGAAAAGGGGACCAGGTCATGGTTCGTTACGAAGCGGGATATGACCTCTCTTGGACATAACGACAGCGGATGTAAAGCGGTTCGAACCTCACGGGGTGTGCCGCATATGTACATGACAGCATGGCGTGGTGTGAAAGCAGTTCCAAGTCCGAAGCGTTTTCTTGCCCATGTACTTCATGACAGCATGGTTTGTTATGTGAAATGGGGTTCGAAGTTCCGAGGTATGTAGGCAGCACAGGAAAAGCCTTTTCCTCGCCTGAGCGGTGATCCCACCGATGATGCCGACGACGCACAGTCCGATCGCGATAACTTCGTTGGAGAAGGGCGTCGCCACCCAATACGACGCCCCGATAGCCCCGCACAGCCCAAGGGCATTGCTCAAGGCGTGCCCCGTCGACCTAATCTGGGTTGGGTAAAGCTCAGGCCTGAATCGAGGTATAGGACATTGGGGGAGGAGGGGCGGCTGTAGCGTACATAGGCGACGGTTGGACACACGTATATCCCCCCCGCCGCACACACATGTCCCAGGTCAATGGTCCAACGACTACAACATACCACGTTTACGTGAGTACTCCCCTCACCCCCCACAGGGGACGCCGCGAATGTAATACACGGTAAACTTAGCTGAGTTACCGAGCAAACCTGTAAAAAAAATGCCAGTATCGGGTGCCCGACCCGTTCTATCTCAACGGCGTGCCTTGTGACCCCCAGGGATGACTGCACGCATGCACCGTCGTATGGAAGTGAATATATCAGTACATGAGGTATACCGATCGACTGGAGTCATGATGGGAGACGGTACACCACGAGCAAAAACACACACGATAGGAAACAGTCTAGATCGTCACGGTCAAGAAACGGGCTCCACATTTTTTGGAAAGCTACGCTTCTGCCGTGATCTGGGCTCTCGCGTGCTCGATGGTCTCTAAGACAAGCAACGAGCGCGTACACCACGCACCCCTTCCCGGAAAGCAAAGCAAGGACTCACGTCACTACCCACGCCATGCAAGAGGACACGTACGACGCCCCTCTGGCGAAGAAGGACGTCACCAGGAGCCACGCCATCGCGCTGTTGACCGGCATCAGGACCGTCATCACTGCCGAAACCGTGAAGTTGATCGACATGCTCAGTCGCCGGTCGAAACGATCCACGTAGAACCTCGACAGGACGTTTGCCACCAGTTCGCTGAGAGGGGGTAACAGACAGACCCGGAGGGGGCGGGGGCGGTAGGTAGTGGCTCAGCCTCAGGCGGTAAGAGGACATGGAGTGAAGTTGGAACACGATAGGACGCCTCAGTGATTGGTCACCATAGGCAAACACGGACCTTCTTGCGGATCCAAGGGCGACCTGCACCCAAAAGAAAACGCCTGTGACGTCATATCCGAATAAGCAGTACTGCTAAAAGTTCTAGCCTCAT